CAATTTCTCGTCGAGTGGCAGGCAAGTTACTGTGTCTGTCGATCCGAACGCTGAACATCGTGGGCGTAGCAGGTCCCGCGCCAGCATCCGGTAAACTTGAATCTCTTCTGCTAAGGTCGCCGAAACTGAGTTTAAACTTTGGATTAGCGTGTCATTTCGATGGCCCCTACACGGACCCTTTCGCCGATCCTCCGGTGACAAGTAAGATGCCTGGTCAACACACTCTATCCCCTATCTATAGCATTAATACGCCGTATGTGGCGTCACTTTCAGTGATTTACGGACGCTAATACCTACTCATGCAGCCTGGACGTTGCTTCTCCCCCAACTCAGTATGAGCCGCAGCCTACCGAGCCCGAGCCCGAGCCCGAGCTCGAACCCGAACCCGAGCCGATGCCAATGCCAATGCCGATGCCGATGCCAATGCCGATGCCAATGCCAGAGCCCGAAGTGCAGACGGAACGCCAGCCCAGCACCCGCACAGAGTCACCGACGCCGATGACGTTGCCGCTTCCAGCTCTCAACGAGGTTACGCACTCGAGAGGCATTCGCGAGGAACCCTCTGGATACAGCATCGGCACTAGCACCGTCGCGGTCGAGTATGCAATGCACGAGTCAGAGTACGTTCCCGCTCCTCTGAACGTCGTACCCTTCTCAGATCTCACTAGCCCCCGTAGCGAGCGCATGCCGCTTCTCCCGCGAATGATGCCCGCCCCGAGCGTCGGCACGTCGAAAGCAGCCCCCGAGCCACCGACATTTAGCACCACGCTCACTACCGTTCCGCGTGACGAGCACGGCTTTGGCGCGCACGGCTGGACAGAGCACGTCCTGCCCGACAGCACCGTGTATTACAGCAATGTCGTACTACGCGTTGTCACCGACATCGATCTTCGAAACAAGACGCGACTCGACGCCGTCCTCACCGCACTCCAGCGCAAGGGCTACAACGAGCCCGCGCTCGTACCGCCGCCTGATGGTTGGGAGCTGTGGTTACGCGAGGGCGCAGGCAGACTGTCATACGACGTTGCGCTGGTCAAGGCATGGGTCAACCACAAGGCGCGTATGCTGACACTTCAGGCTCCGTTGCCTGGTGCGGACGCTACCGAACGGGTTTCTGAGGACGATAGTAAGCGCCTAAGTTGAACTGCCTCGACAAGTGCTAACACTTCCTTAGAGCTCGACATGGAGTATCGCTATTGGACGTTCATGGAGTCACATCCGGCTCACGTGCCCTTGCCCGAGAATGCCCTAGCAGAGGCGATGAACACCCTGACATGGTGCTATACTGGTACGTCGCGTGCTCTAGGACTCAACAAGCCATCTCACATACTATCCAGATTGCCTGTTACCCTCACAGCAGACCGTCCCACCGCCTTTCACTCCCCAAGAGTGCCAGGAGCTTATGGGCTTGTTACGCTCTTCTAATGGCGACGCCCCGAGCAACAGGATTGTGCATACTCGCATCGTCGCGCGCGTGCTCCTCCGTCAAGGTGCCGTCTCGTGATTGTTCGACATGTCATGCTTCCGCTGACCGCTATTCGCAGCTCACTGGCGCCAGCAACAGTTCCGCCCAGACCGCCCATTCCCCAGCGACTCGAGGAAGAGTGCGAGGGCCCTGACTGAGAGCCGTGTGACGCTCCGGCGCATATTCATGGACCTGATCATGTCTGTGTTCTGTCTCGGTATCCCGTACCTCTTCATGGGACGCAGCTTCCACCATAGAGTTGACGAAGAGAGCGGCATGCGCAGCCAGGGCCCCTTCCTTGTCATCAGCGCATGCGCGTGCCTCATAGTGCGCCTTCTTCTTTCCTCGTCTCCGAACTCGACGTCGCTCATACGTTGGAATAGGCTGCAGTGATCCTAAGTGCGTCGGTGACGCTGCTCACGCTTCCTGGACTCGACGATATTGCGCGCCTCGCTGGCATGATTGCAATCCTCTTGTCGGCATCCAGCATGGTCTCAGCCGTCGCCGCCCTCTTCAAGTACAAGGCAGACATAGAGCGCACGGTCGTGTACGTTGGCGGGGAAGGTCTTATGGTGATGTCGGTGCGTATCTCTACCTTCCTTCGTATTCAAAAAGGCTGAAGTGCTTCATAGCGTCGGAGCATTGTCCTGTCACTGCCCATCGTCTTCCTTGCGTGGGCCATCGCCGCGTTCATCACTGGGATCACGTTCTACTCGTTCAGAGGTGTCACCCTCACGAACAAAGTTGTCATCCGCCAGCCATTCGTTGATTACACTCATTGGGTCGTGGTGGGCAGCTTGGGCGGCCTCGTTGGCATTTTGCTCGTCTCCGGCGTCATGGCTCGACGCTGAACAGACGACCTGCGTTATGATCGGCAATACCCATACAATGCATGAGATGCATGTATGTATCATCTTGTAGTACTGGCGGTTTGTATGTACATCATGGTTGCGCCTAACGAAGCAATGCTTTATATCACAACAGCCCCCGCTTACTACCAACAAATCTCCTCGTTGATCGTCATCTTCTCCTTCTGTAACGGCCACATCTTAGTGATGCGCTCCCGCACCTCGAAGCCGGATGCAGCATTCAGCGCAGTCTGTTTCGTTTCCTTCTGGAGCTGTACTTGTGGCCATCGCTTAGATACAGCACGATGATCAAGTAAGGCAGGATGGAGGCTGAAGCACTGATGATCTTGGGCGTATCTCGGATTTCAAGTGGCAGGGGTCTTAGTATTCTTGAATATATAATCAAGGACGAAGATCTTGATATCTCAATGGACGACATTTTTAACCCATCCTTAAAAGACATGGTATCCGGCGCCGTACGGTGCGTAAGACTCTGCGCCATCGACTTACGAGACCACCGACGTCCCGCCACGGTCTAAACTCCTCCCGTGAGTAACCATTACCCGTCGTGGAGTCGAGACGGTTGTTGGACGCTCGGTTCTGAAGCGGAGTTATGAGGCAAGCACGGCGGATGAGCCTCACATCAGAGATTACGCAGGCCTTCATGCTCAAGCTAAAGAGCGAATTTTCATCCATTCCGGAGTTTCGAGATGCTGTACGGTACAACAAGGTGCTTACGAAGTTGTGGCTCCGCTCACTATGTGATGGCGTCGTCCACGATACTTATGCCGTGTATGTCGGAGGGTGGGAAGATCTGACTGACTACATTGCCTCTGTGGAGCTCGTTTTATTGTAAATATATATGGCATTGCTGCTATCAACTGCGCACCAAAGTTACGGTGCGCACTTATCGGCTGAAGATGAGATCCTCAATG